TCTGAGTCAGGAGCATTATGTTGTGCTTTTCTTTTATTGTTTTGGAAAGTGAAAATGATACTTTTTATGGCCACACATAGTTTTTGTAGGACTGTGTTTGATTAAGCAGTAAGCTGTGCAGTTCCCTTCCTTGTTAATGGAAAACAAGAATCTGAAATCTTAGTCCATCGGTGTGGATATTGTTTATTCATTCAGGAATCGGGATCCTCTTTCTTTCCAAACTCCTCCTGAAACTTTTAATTTGGATGTTGTGAGTAGTGGCATCTTAAGAAATTTTGCAGAGAGCGGGGACTATACCATAGAGAAAAGTCTTTAAGAGGGAAGGTATGTTTTACTCTGAAAGAACCTTTATATTTCTGAGGGAGAATGTCTGAAGCAGGGTTGGCATCCCATACGTTAAAACAAACAAACAACAAAAAAACCTATACCCTATCCCAAGCCCAATCAAGGCCGTGGCCCCAGGATTAAGGTTCAAAATAATATCTGCTGGTTTCAGTGCTAAGTCTGAAATCATGTCATTTATATCTGTGTGTGTGTGTGTATGCATGTGTGTTTTGAGGTGACTGGGCACATAATGTGGAGTTCTGAACTTAAGGAATTAGGTCTACTGATAGCATGGGTAAGTCATGTTAATGAGCGGGAACTGTTCATAGTGCCCTTTCTCTTTTCATGAGAGAACAGCATATTGTTCTCCGATTTTGATGTTGAAGGCAGAATAACAATGAATATCATGGTGTTGATTTCCCACTTCGATCCCTTCAGAAAGGGCATTCAGTTACCATAGTAGGGAAGGAAGTCTGAAAATAAATCCCCAAGACTACTCAGTCACAATTGAACTGTTTATATGTGATGTTGTCTCCTCTTTTATGGACGTTTCATGTTAAATGACAAATAGAGTATAGATGGGGGAGGAGGCAATCTGAGGACAGGACTGAAGTGTGTTAGGAAGAGGGGGAGAGAAAGCTGGATGCAGTGCGGGGAACAGTATTTGTACACTGTTTTCTAAACACAAATGAACAAAAAATAGCTGAACTGCAGATAAAGCTGTCCAAAAGTTGAAACAAGGAACTCCAGAAGTGCAGCCTCTGACAGAAGGAAACTGCAGAGATGCTCCATGCTGTTTCATTGACCTGCAGGAGGGCGAGTGCTCTCCAGTGCTATTTGTTGACTGCAGTTGACCCCA